AGCTACCCCATTCAGGACCAGGGAGTCCCCCACACCTGCAGCATTGGGCCATGTCACACTATGTGACGTCACAGGTGCAATGTGCATGATGTCACACACACACACCAGGAACCCCAAATGTGGGGTGGAACCCAGCCTGCCTGGCTGGGGCTGGTGGAAGCTGGATGCATTTGGAAGGCATTGTGTTTACTGCCCCCTAGGTGCAGACAATACAGAGATGGATGGTCCCCAGATTTGAACTCTGTGCAAGGCAGGTTCCTTTGGGTGGATGCAGTGCTTTTTTCTGGAGGTACGTGGGGGTACATATACCCCTAAACATGGAGTTGGATTTGTGGCACTGCAGAGGGGTTATTTTGTGCTTGTTGGTGCAGCATTTTGACCGACAATTGGGAAACACTTGCCTGCAAGCACTCCAGTTGGAGAACAGCCTTTACCAAAGGTGTCATGGGCTTTGAAGACACTCGAACTCAGGACGCCAGGGAGAAACGTGCTAAGAGGAAGGCACGCTTGGCAAATCCACACCATGATCAACTCCCGCCCGGGAACCAATGTCCCCCTGTGGAAGGACGTGTGGATCCAGAACTGGCCTCCACAGTCACTTATGGACTCATTGTTAAAACTGTGTTTATGGAAGACAATCTTACTCGGCTACGAGTGATCGCCAAAGAAGAAGAAGAAGACCCCTAAACATTTTGTGAAGTTTGGCCTCATTGAAGGGCAGTATTTCAATATGCTTCTTGGGAGAAAAGCAATGACAAACCTAGACAGCATCTTAAAAAGTAGAGACATCACCTTGCCAACAAAGGTCCGTATAGTTAAAGCTATGGTTTTCCCATTAGTGATGTATGGAAGTGAGAGCTGGACCATAAAGAAGGCTGATCGCCGAAGAATTGATGCTTTTGAATTATGGTGCTGGAGGAGACTCTTGAGAGTCCCATGGACTGCAAGAAGATCAAACCATGAGAAGAGAAGACTCCCTGGCAAAGACCCTGATGTTGGGGAAGATGGAGGGCACAAGGAGAAGGGGACGACAGAGGACGAGATGGTTGGGCAGTGTTCTTGAAGCTACCAGCATGAGTTTGACCAAACTGCGGGAGGCAGTGGAAGACAGGAGTGCCTGGCGTGCTCTGGTCCAGGGGGTCACGAAGAGTCGGACACAACTAAACGCCTAAACAACAACAGCAACAGGAAAATGAGAATACCCCTAAATATATATTTTTTAGGGAAAAAGCACTGGGTGGATGAAACCTCAAACCACAACAGCTTGTCACTGATGAGGTTGATTAGTTCCTCTGAAATAAGGATCAATGTCAATTCCACAGAAAAGGAGAAGTGAAGAAATTGTTTGCAATGATTCAGAGACAGTGTGTCTTCCTCCCACCTATTTCCTGTTGCAGCTCATGCCAGAAAAACGGTTTGACCTTCTGCCTATGCTGTTCGGAACATGGGAGCATTACTGGCTGTCATTTCAAACACCTTAACAAAAAACCAAGAAACAGTGCAAGCAGGAAGGATAGACTCAGATCAATGCGGAATTTAAATGTGCAAAGAATGCTGATGTGAAAATGAAATGCAACGGAGTTTCGTGTGTCTATCTGTTTGTTTGCTTGACGACAAGCAAATCTGAAACAGGTGACAGGATCAAGGGAACTGCATTAAAATAGAAGCTTTTAAGGGGAAGGCTATTAGGGAGTCCAACTTTTTAATCTGAAATGCTTCCGGTCTGCCGTGAGGAATTTCAGCTTGGAGACTTTTCTGGAACTATAAAAGTCCGGGATAAATGACTTGCAAGGCTACTCATCCTTCGCTGCGGATCCTTTTGCTTCAGGATGTTGTTCTGCATGCTGGCTTTGGGAAAGGCTGACAAAAATCTTGGAGAATCAGTGCACTGGTGGCTATTGGCCATTCTATCTAGGTTTGGAGCTTCCATATGCAATGACAGTACAGTGGTTCCTCAGGTTACATACGCTTCAGGTTACATACGCTTCAGGTTCCAGACTCCGCTAACCCAGAAATAGTGCTTCAGGTTAAGAACTTTGCTTCAGGATGAGAACAGAAATCGTGCTCCGGTGGTGCGGCAGCAGCAGCAGGCCCCATTAGCTAAAGTGGTGCTTCAGGTTAAGAACAGTTTCAGGTTAAGTATGGACCTCCGGAACGAATTAAGTACTTAACCTGAGGTACCACTGTATACCTCTGGCAAAGGGATGGGGAGAAATTTGCTTCAGCTTACTGTAAAAATGCCTGTATCGGGGAAATTGCATGTGAAGGGTGTGTGTTAGGAGAAATTTGCATTAAAATTCTAACGAATTTTTGAGAGGACTAAAAAATAAATAAATCAGAAACAGATGCAAAAGTTTGGAGAACTGAAGCTGGGAAAATGACCTTATAGGAAGCCATTTTTGATGTAATGATTAGGGAGGTCAGGGGTTCAACTGGCCCTTGTTCCTGTGTATCTAACGGTACAGTGGTACCTTGCTTCTAAAACAGCTTACTTTATGAACAACTTGGATTAAGAACGCTGCAAACCCAGAAGTAGGTGTTCCGGTTTGTGAACTTTGCCTTGGAAGCTGAACATGTCCCACTTCCTGTTGAGTCTGTTGGCTGTTGAGTCCTGAGTACCCACACAACACAGAGATTATATTTGGAGCTTTTGTTTTTGCTAAAAAAATTGCATTTTTGTTTGTGTGGCTTTTTCATTTATTTGACTGTGACTGTGTGGAACCCAGTTCAGCTACTGATTGATTGATTGATTGATTGATTGATTGATTGTGTGACTGCAGAAATGGATAAAAGCCCCCCCACCCAAACGATGACTATCAGTGCACATAAGATTTTTTTTTTTATCGTCTACAATACTCTTATTTATTTTATAGTACAATACATTGATTATTGCTTTCTTTTTATGGATCAATGGTCTCGTTAGATAGTAAAATTCATGTTAAATTGCTGCTTTAGGGGTTGTTTTTAAAAGTCTGGAACGGATTAATCCATTCTGCATTACTTTCTATGGGAAAGCACGCTTAGGTTTTGGAACGTTTTGGTTTTGGAACGGACTTCCGGAATGGATTAAGTTTGGGAACCAAGGTACCACTGTAGTTTGATCTGCAGCAATTGGCAGCTGATCATTCCCCCTGCTGCCTGTTTGAAATGTTGGCAACAGAGCTCATGATACTTACTGTTTGCCATTCCTGCATAAAGGACGCTAAAATAATAAATAATATTTTATTTTTTTATACCCCGCCCTTCCCAGTTCAGAAAACCAGGCTCAGGGTGTCTAACAACAAATTTAAAATAATTGATGCAACAAAAAACAGCATTAAATACAGTATAAAACGTGAATAACAATAAATTCAGAACTCAAAAATCAATTTAGGGGGAATATCCATCCAATAAACATTAGATGATCACCAGGGCTAGCTGGCTAAGTTAGTCCTATTTGGGCCAGCGAGGAGACCAGGAGAGAATGAGCTGTGGGATCCCAGAGTGGGTAATCTTCATAAAAAGGGGAGGGAGAGGGAAGGAAGGGGAATAAAAGGTCAGGCTAAGTTCAAATTGAAAGCCAGGTGGAATAGCTCTGTCTTACAGGCCCTGTGGAAGGAAGTTAAACCCTGCAGGGCCCTGATCCCCTGGGACAGAGCATTCCACCAGGTCGGAGCCATCACTGAGAAGGCCCTGGCCCTGGTGGAGGATAATCCGACTTCCTTAGGGCCCGGGACCTCTAAACTGTGATTATTCATGGACCCCTACTAATGGAATAAATTGAACTGGATTTCCCCCCCATCATTTATGCATTTATGTAATTATTTTATTGTGTTTATATCTCACCATTTTTTCCTGCAAGTTGCTCAAGGTGGCATCCACAGTTTCCCCCCTCCTCATTTACTCCCCACAACAACCCTGTGAGGTAAGCTAGGCTGAGAGGCAGCGAGTGGCCCAAGGTCACCCAGTGAGCATCATGGCCAAGTGGGCCTTTGTACCCTGGTCTCCCAGTGTGGCGTTTGCCCTCCTAGGTGTGAGACATCATACTGGGTTCATAGGGAACGGGTTAACTAATTGTAAAATGACTAACCAATGGGAACCCAGGGGGAGGAGTTAACTGTGTATAAGTTTAAGCACAGAGGTTTTTAGGGAGTTAGAGTTGTTGAGAAGACAGTCTGGATTTAGAAGAGACAGGGAAGATAAGTCTGTGGGTTGGGCTAGTCTGGTGTGAGAGAGTGAGAGAATCTGTTAAGAGGAGTCAGTCAAACAGTTGAGATAATCAGTCAGAAGGTATTAGGAAGGTATAGGCCGGTAAAGAAACTAAAGTTAAGAAACTGACAGGAATATTATCTGAGAAACCATAAACTTGTTAATGCTTATAAAATAAACGTGTTTATTTGGTTCAATTTTAACAACTGTCTGGACTCAGTGTGTACCCGAGAGAAACGGGTTGGTGGCAGCAGGGAAGCGAGCACAGTGGTGGCACAGGGATCAATAGACTGTCAAACGTCCGGGGACCCTGTGTGATCGCCACACCCAGATCCTAGCCCAATACAGTGGTGCCTCGCAAGACGAAAATAATCTGTTCCGCGAGTCTCTTCGTCTAGTGGTTTTTTCGTCTTGTGAAGCAACCCTATTAGCAGCTTAGCGGATTAGCGCTATTAGCGGTTTAGCGGCTTAGCGGCTATTAAAGGCTTAGCGGCTAAAAGGCTATAAGCGGCTTAGCGGCTATTAAAGGCTTAGCAGCTTAGCGGCTAAAAGGCTATTAGCGGCTTAGCGGCTTAGAAAAAGGGGGGGAAGTGAAAAAAATTGCAAGGCTCGCAAGACGTAGGGAAAATCGTCTTGCGAAGCGCATCGAAAAACGGAAAACCCTTTCGTCTAGCGGGTTTTTCGTCTTGCGAGGCATTCGTCTTGCGGGGCACCACTGTACTCCAGCCACGACACCTTGCTGCCTTTCATTTCATCAAAATATGTACTTTTTAAAAAGAAAACCTTCACCTCCTCTTTTTTCTTTTTTTCAGTAATGATGGCTGACGCTGAAGCAGACGTGGGGCTCCCCACTATTGAGAGGAAGCCAGGCCTCCAGATATGGACCATAGAGGTACAGTACAGCCAGCATCCTCCGTACACCGCCTGTATTTTTCGCAGGGTGACACAACACGGTGTCCACTCCTCAAGCTGTTAGTATTTTGCGGGAGAGACTGAGGCGCATAGCAGAAATTTCAGTTTGTTCAACTGAAGCGGATCCGAGTGCGGGCTTTTTGCGGTTAGGAAAGCGCCAGGAGAATGCCCTGAGAAGTGTGGAATGAACAAATGATTTCTGGGAAGTTGTAGAAATGCCTCACAGGCGAATCTGAAGACATCTGAAGGCAGCCGTGTTTAGGGAAGCTTTTAATGTTTGACGGACTATTGTATTTTAATATTTTGTTGGAAGCCACCCAGAGTGGCTGGGGAAACCCAGCCAGATGGGTGGGGTATAAATATATTATTATTATTATTATTATTTTATTGAGACGGATGCTCCTTGTCATATATACTCCCCACAGACAAATCAGAACAAAAGCTCAGTAAAGTCTAACTGCCGCGTAAGCTTTGGGCAGCAAATCAGGATAAATGCTTGATTGAAAGGTCGTGTGGCAGAACTCACCTTTTCATTTTAATTGGGTTGTTAAATTATACATTAATTAGCTGAACGTACTGTCTTGCCAAAGGCAAGGTGGTACTTTCAAAATGAGATTCAGAAGCAATATAAACTACCAAAGTGAGTGAGAAGATGAAAGGCTTTATTCTAAAACAGCAAGCAATGTATACATTACCAAGCACTTAAGCACTTACTTTAATCTGCCACTTGGAAGCCCTCAAGAAGTGAAGAAGCGGCTTCCCCAGGTAGCCTCAGTTTGAACGGCCCAGCGGCCAACCAGTCTGTGCACGAGCTTCAAAGAAACTCTGCCCAAACCGTCCGATTTTATAGATAGCCACCCCCTGCCAATGCCTCACTTTCTCAAAACAATGTCCAACATCAAAGAAGGTACCCAGAATTATCCGCCACAACTGATTAAGGCAGCTGTGTGTGGAGTGTCACCTCTTGCCAATGTTCTCAAGACATCTAAGACTGTTCTCACACCATCGAAAAAGTTCACAAGAGCGAGGGAGGTGGAAGGAACAGAGGCAGGAAGGAGTCCTTGTCAGATAGCTAAACTCCTCAATACATTTTGTTTTCTCATACACACATATTGAATAACACAACCGTTGTGATTGCACATGTAATCATACAAAACAGGACTGTTATTATGAGGATTATACTGTCTGCCAATATGCTTTTTACTGTGTTTTCAACTATGTTTTATTGTTGATGTTTCGTAATGTGTTTTTAATGTTGTACACTGCCCTGAGACCTTTTGGTAAAGGGCAGTATATAAACTGTAACAACAGCAGCAGCAACAACAACAACAACAACTTTGCAACAGGGAAGTGAGAGCTGGACCACCAAGAAGGCTGATCGCCGAAGAATTGATGCTTTTGAATTATGGTGCTGGAGGAGACTCTTGAGAGTCCCATGGACTGCAAGAAGATCAAACCTCTCCATTCTTAAGGAAATCAGCCCTGGGTGCTCACTGGAAGGACAGATCCTGAAGCTGAGGCTCCAAGACTTTGGCCACCTCATGAGAAGAGAAGACTGCCTGGAAAAGACCCTGATGTTGGGAAAGATGGAGGGCACAAGGAGAAGGGGACAACAGAGGACAAGATGGTTGGATAGTGTTCTCAAAGCTACCAACATGAGTTTGACCGAACTGTGGAAGACAGGAGTGCCTGGCGTGCTCTGGTCCATGGGGTCACGAAGAGTCGGACACGACTAAACAACAAAAGTGACCTTTAGGCTAACCTGACTGGTGAACAATGTGTTGTTTTGTTCCTTCTCCAGCTTGTTAATCTGGTGTGGGGAACCCGCAGGTCACCAGATGTTATTGGAGGAGAAAGCTATTCATGGCCTCTAGCCATGATATAGGGTTGCAAGCGATGTCAGCCGTGTTGTTTGGGGGCAATTTCTCTCTAAAAAAAAAGCTCACTTATTGAAATATGCCAACCCTATAGGATGGCTCTGCATCTACACCTGGGGGGAGCAATGCTTCTGAATGCAAGCTTCTGGAAATTTCAAGAAGGTGATGTCTGCCAATTGGTGAGAAAGAAGATGAGCATATTATTACAGCTCTTCCAAAAACGTTTTTCTTACACCTCCGGATAAGGAAACATTTAACATGGACTTCATGACAGCTTCACTCCGTAGCATTCCTGCTTGTCCACAGCCTAGGCACCAACATGTGCTAGCTAGTCAAAACCCTGAAATGCATATGAGCTCCATGTGAATTGGCTCCGGGTTCGAAAGCTGCCTCCTGGGAGTCTGTTCCCAAGCTGCCCAGAACAGCAACTTCATTCTTCCCAGATCATCTGACTTCGTTTCCTTGTGCCTTGGTGCAAAGGCTAGCAGCTCCCTAAAGAATTCTGCAAACATGGCCCAGGGGAACAGATGGCTGGAGATGGACCTCAGTCCTCCATCTCTGAAATGGGTTTTTTTAAAAATGTCCAGCCTCGCAAGTGAGTCCGCAAATTTACTACTGTAGTCCTCAATCATTGGCCTAGGTTGGTCAGATTTAGTACATTATTGCACTGAAATTAACTCTCGCCTATAAAAGCTCCCCTGGAGCAGGCTTACAAGTTTGCTTTCATGACGGTGTGATAGCCACCCTTTGGAATGGGAAGGTTTTGGGCAAAGGTTCACCGTTTAGATTTCTGCCTGTCACCCAGCAGTTGAAAGCAGTTGCACTCTGCCAGAAATAAAGATAGGACTCCTTGTTCTGATTCTGGAATCATTTGCTACGGGATTTTTATTTGCTTTTTGTTTCATTACATTTCTATACAGTGGTACCTCGGGTTACATACGCTTCAGGTTACATACGCTTCAGGTTACACACTCCGCTAACCCAGAAATAGTGCTTCAGGTTAAGAACTTTGCTTCTGGATAAGAACAGAAATCGTGCTCTGGCGGCGTGACAGCAGCAGGAGGCCCCATTAGCTAAAGTGGTGCTTCAGGTTAAGAACAGTTTTAGGTTAAGAACGGACCTCCAGAACAAGTTAAGTACTTAACCCGAGGTACCACTGTACTGCCCTTCATCTGAGAATTACAACATAAAATGTCAAAAATGCAGAACATAGTAACAAACAAAAAACAATACTCCCTATGTTGAAAAGGCTGTGGTGTTTATTTTGTTTATTAAATTTCTAGTTGACTTTAAGTTGTCTTTGGTTAACTTTGGTCCACTATACCAAAGTCTTGCCAGATCAATCCAGAATGCTTTAAAAAGGGAAGAATCTGGGCTTGCCATTTTACAGGCCCAAATGTACAAGCACACCTGCCTCCACCCTTTCGTGACCTAGGCTGAAGTCGGAGAAGTCAGCGCATCGTGAGTTCCTGCTTCTCTGCCGAACAAGTTTGTCCAGTTTTGCAATTCGGGCTAGAGGTGAAGCGGAAAACTTTTCACGATTAATTAAGCCGAGAAGGATGTGTGAGATCTTCCAAATGTGTATGCTGAGCCTCCATTTGCGGAAACTTTGGCAAGGAGAGAGTGGGGAGGGGTTTGCAGAAAGGTTTGCTTATCTATTTCACAAAAATTACACACCCCTTGATTGGTAGGTGGGGGACTTTGAAGCAGGTTACAAAAAGATAAAACAATAAAATCCATAAAATTTTACAGCCGTACTTTAAAGCATTCAAAAGTTAAACTACTAACACGGTTTAAAGAACTGTCCTTGTACATAAGCTTGAGACTGATGTATTCTAAAACACAATGAATCACTAAAAACAACAACAACTGCTACTGTTATTTAAACATGTTGGCTTCCTTGTGTTCACATTATTTTATACAAATTCTTTGTGGATTTATTAACGTTTTCTTAGCCATCTCCCCACATTTTGGCTGTAGAACTGAATCTCCTACAGTGAACGCTGTCATCCCATCTCTGCATATCTTCTTAACTGGATTTTTATGCTTCTGTTGTTTGTTGTTGTTATTTTAGAAAATGAAAATGGTGCCTCTTCCTGAGAAGGCCTACGGGAGCTTTTTTGAAGGGGACTGTTACATCATCTTAAACGTAAGTAGCTCTGCTAATGGTGCCATAGGGTGGGAATGAATCATACAATCACAGAGCCCTAGAGTTGCAAGGGATCCCAAGGGTCATCTAGTCCAACCCCCTGCAAAGCAGTACTTTCATTAAATACATATTTTGTTATGTGCAAATGGCTTTAGATACCTGTTGGGTCCATAAATTACCATATAGCATATGTTCAACACAAAAAACAGCCACAATTTCTTGTGGACAAAGGACAGCTGGACATATAAAGGACCCCGTTACCTTCAGTAGCTTAGGGCCTCATCAAACCTAAATCCATCCCTGGCTGGTGCTCAGCTTTGAAGCGACTCTGGGGTTGCGGCGTTCATCTCGCTTTAATGGCCAAGAGAGCCAGTGAACAGCTTCCGGGTCATGTGGCCAGCATGACTAAGCCGCTTCTGGTGAACCAGAGCAGCGCACGGAAACGCCGTTTACCTTCCCGCCAGAGTGGTACCTATTTATCTACTTGCACTTTGACGTGCTTTTGAACTGCTAGATTGGCAGGAGCAGGGACTGAGCAACAGGAGCTCACCCCGTCGCGGGGATTCGAACCGCCGACCTTCCGATCGGCAAGTCCTAGGCTCTATGGTTTAACCCACAGCGCCACCCGTGTCCCTATATAGAAGTGTAAGGTAAAGGTAAAGGTACCCCTGCCCGTACGGGCCAGTCTTGACAGACTCTAGGGTTGTGCGCCCATCTCACTCTATAGGCCGGGGGCCAGTGCTGTCCGAAGACACTTCCGGGTCACGTGGCCAGCGTGACAAGCTGCATCTGGCGAGCCAGCGCAGCACACGGAACGCCGTTTACCTTCCCGCTAGTAAGCGGTCCCTATTTATCTACTTGCACCCGGGGGTGCTTTCGAACTGCTAGGTTGGCAGGCGCTGGGACCGAGCAGCGGGAGCGTACCCCGCCGCGGGGATTCGAACCGCCGACCTTTCGATCGGCAAGCCCTAGGCACTGAGGCTTTTACCCACAGCGCCACCCGCGTCCCATATATAGAAGTGTACTTATGGTTAATTTTAATATGCTATTATTGAATATGTATGTTATTGAATATTGTATACCCAATGTATTGGAGCGTTTCACTGTTTGTGTTTTGGTGGCTGATAAGAATTTTTTTTAAAAAAAAGATCCCCCTGGAAACCTTCGCCATGTTTGCATAGTTCCCTGGATCTCACCATAGTCAGAAAACAAGGCTCCACTTCTCAGTTTCTCTGTGTTCACGGCCAAACTGTCCGCGTTCCCCTCCTCCCCCTTGCCCTCTGGTCATGAATTTGCTCTCTTGCCATACCAATCGCTATGGTAACCTCGCCGAGGAGGTGTTTGGCAAATGTTTACTTTGTCGGAGAGCGAGAAGGTGCCAGAAAATGGGTTGCTGCGCATGTTGGGGCATGTATTGCGTTTCCACATCTCCCTCCCCCCCCCTTCCTGGCAGTGCGCTATCTCTCAAGACCATCTTAAGGGTGCTGCCAAGGGGGGGCCGCCCATGGTGGGGGGGTCACCTTTAATACACAGGCTGGGGCGGGGTTTCACTTGACAAATCACGTATGTTTCATTGTAGCCGCATTCGCACCTTACGTTTAAAGCAGAATGATGGCATTTTATTTTATATTTTCAAAAAAAAAAAAATTCCACAATTGTAACAAATATAACATGGAAAAGGAAAAGGAAACACACAAAGAAAGAACAATACAATGTTGAACAGAAACAAAAACAAAATGGAATCTTAAACGCCTATCCCTTAAAAAACACACCCAATTTCTCTTACATTGTTAATTGACTCCCTCAGATCCCTCCCTTCTGAATTTCATTATATCTGCATGTAACAGCTCTCCAATTAACTAAAATTAATTCCTGCAATTAACTATCTTATTCTCATTTCTTACTATTCTAAATCTCAACTTACTTACAATCGAATCCTAATTTAATCCTAGTCCTATTTGGTACTTTCAAGTGACTTCTAATGATTTATATTACAATGTTTATTCAAATAATCCTTAAATTTCTTCCAATCTTCTTGATGCATGGTGGCATTTTAAACAGTTATGATTCCCCCCCCCTGAAGAGTTCTGGGAACTGTAGTTTGCTGAGGGTTGTTAGGGGATCCAGACAACCTAGAGTTCTCAAAGTGGGTTTAGCACTCAGTCCCACTTCACAAGGAACTCTGGCCTCTGATCACCTCAAAACCTCTCTCATAACCACCTCCGATATTTTATTTTTAATGAGATTTGCTTTCTACTCGTTTCTGTGTCAGCTAGGGATGGAAGAGGGAGAGAAGCTCGACTCAGTTTCCCTTTAGAGACAAATCTATCACATTCTCATCTCTCGAAGCAACGTGAGAATCGAAGGCATCCTTCAAAATTCGCAGCGACGTGAATTTTGCGGAGCTGTTCTTCCAGCCAGCGTTTACCAAAATGCATATATTAAGGGGAAGTGTGTGTAAAGATTAAAATATCCATGAAAACAACATACATGGATGCACTGCGTTAGGAGAAAACGCTTACCAAAAAAAAATTATGCATGCCCCAAACAGAATAGCAGACCAAAATGTGTTTATCGGGGAGGAATTTGCACCAAAATGCTCAAGAATTTTCAGGAAGATTTGGGTGGTTTTTTTTAATAATAATAATCACAGGTTCCTGAAAAAATGTGGAAAACTGAATTTAAAACTGGGAAAATGAGAAACTGGGGGAACTGAAAAGGACACAAAAGGTAAAGGGACCCCTGACCATTAGGTCCAGTCGTGGCCGACTCTGGGGTTGCGTCGCTCATCTCGCTTTACTGGCCAAGGGAGCCGGCGTACAGCTTCTGGGTCACGTGGCCAGCATGACTAAGCTGCTTCTGGCGAACCAGAGCAGCGCACGGAAACGCCGTTTACCTTCCCACCAGAGCAGTACCTATTTATCTACTTGCACTTTGACGTGCTTTTGAACTGCTAGTTTGGCAGGAGCAGGGACCAAGCAACGGGAGCTCACCCTGTTGCGGGGATTCGAACCGCCGACCTTCTGATTGTCAAGTCCTAGGCTCTGTGGTTTAACCTACAGCGCCACCCGCGTCCCAAGAAATGGACATATGCCCTCTCTAATTCCATTTATTCCATCACAGAACACGAAGACACGTTCTGGATTCGCCACGGACCTGCACTACTGGATTGGGCGCGATTCCTCCCAGGACGAACAAGGCGCGGCTGCTTTCTACGTGACTCAGATGGATGACCTGCTCGGCGGGAACCCCGTCCAGCACAGAGAAGTGCAGGGACACGAGTCGGCAGCCTTTAAAAGTTATTTCAAGAACGGCATCATGTGAGCGCTGGGGAAAGGCTTGAGGAACCCACTCCATTTCAGTGGGGCTCCTGTGGGGAAAACGGATAGAATCAGGCAACAGGCTGCCTCCTTTTTAAAACTCTTGCACTATTCCCATATTCAAAAGTCCTATGAGCAACAATAAGGACTAGTAACTTTTATTTTATTTTTAAAGGGCAAGATTCTAACAACAGCACACAGTGTAGAACCATAGCTGTCAAGTGTTCCTTATTTGGCGGGAAAGTCCCTTATCCCAGCGCTGTGTCCCACTGCTGTCCCTTATTGATAATGTCCCTTAAATTTCCCGAGTTTCAAAGGAAGCAGCTCCTCTCCCTCCCTCCCTGCCAGCCAGGGAGGAGGGAGGCTCCAACTTTGTTGCCTGGCTGCGTTGCTCACCCAATAAGGAGTCTGAGAACGACTGGGGGGTGGAGCTTGCATGCCTTGTGCCGATCAAATCAGCCGCGTTGCCTGGAGACTCGCCTTTGCTCAGCGCTTCCCAGCGGAGAGGTGACGGTTGTTTTCCTTGCTGCATCCCCTTTGCCGGGTTGCTGCGCTGTGGGAACCACCGCTTGAGGCTTCGTTTGGCTGCTGGCTGGGCTTTCTGCCTTTGGCTCGGAGGGGTTCAGAAGTTGAACATACCTGTGCTTGGAAAATCCCTTATTTTGGCTGCTGATCCCTTATTTTCAAATCTGTAAGTTGACAGCTATGTGTAGAACCGAGGCTCACCTCTTCCTGTCCACAGCTTCAGCCTGCTGTTCACCCACAGCAGGTTTGGGGAACCTTTGGCCCTCCAGATGTTGCTGAACTACAACTCTCCACCCTGGTTGTTGGCCATGCTTGCTGGGGCTGCTGGGAGTTGTAGTTCAGCCACATCTGGAGCGCCACAGGTTCCCTGTGTCTTGCTAGGACTACTGCAATGTGCTCTATGTGGGGCTACCTTTGAAAGTGACCCAGAAACTACAAATAACCCAGAATGCGGCAGCTAGACTGGTGACTGGGAGCGGCCGCTGAGACCACATAACACCAGTCCTGAAAGACCTACACTGGCTCTCAGTACGTTCCCGAGCACAATTCAAAGTGTTGGTGCTGACGTTTCAAGCCCTAAACGCCCTCGGTCCAGTATACCTGAAGGAGCGTCTCCACCCCCATCATTCTACCCGGACACTGAGGTCCAGTGCCAAGGGCCTTCTGGTGGTTCCCTCGCTGCGAGAAGCCAAGTTACAGGGAACCAGGCAGAGGGCCTTCTTGGTAGTGGCGCCTGCCCTGTGGAACACCCTCCCACCAGATGTCAAAGAGAAAAACAACTACCAGACATCTGAAGGCAGCCCTGTTTAGGGAAGCTTTTAATGTTTAATAGGTTATTGTATTTTAATATTCTGTTGGAAGCTGGGTGGGGTGTAAAATTTATTTTTATTATTATTATTATTATTATTATTATTATTATTATTATTATTATTATTATTATTTAGAAGCTACTGTTCTCTTAAGGCCTATGGGCACCTGCAGGAATTTTTCCTGGGAGGGTCAAAGTGAAAGTAAAAGACTGGAATAAGGAGCAGGTTAGTTTCACACCTGCAAAACGGTGAATAATAGTGCCTATATATTTTACCTTCCATCTCAGTTTTTACAAGTGCTAGAAACTTACTCTGGAAACTGGGGAGCTGGATATCATGGTTCTCAACTGCCCATTTGCTCCCTACCCCACGGGCACACATACCCCCACCCCCCACCCCAATTATTAAAACCTCCTTATCCCCAACAGCTATAAGAAGGGAGGAGTTGCTTCCGGGTTCAAGCATGTGGAGACCAACATGTACAATATCAAACGCCTCCTTCACGTCAAGGGGAGGAAACACGTCTCGGCTACAGAGGTAAGGAACTGAGCGAGAGCCTGGGGTTGGTTGCCATTTGGATGGTGGCAGAAATTGCCCATGTTTGCTTATTCGTCCACTTCCAAAGCAGAAATCAGTCCAGTGAATGTGATTGGTATTTGCTGCTGCTGTTGTTTTCACTCTGCAAGTCATATGTGATTGGGGGCGGAAGGGAGGGGGAATCAGCATTGCGCTTCCTTCTCGTTAAAATGAAAGGTGCAGAATTCTTTACATTATCCCACACCATTCATTTTGATGCAAAGAAAGTAGCTGCGTAGAAATTTGCCATAGAATAAGGCAACGGTAAAGGGACCTCTGACCGTTAGGTCCAGTCGTGGCCGACTCTGGGGTTGCGGCGCTCATCTCGCTTTATTGGCCGAGGGAGCCGGTGTACAGCTTCCGGGTCATGTGGCCAGCATGACTAAGCCTCTTCTGGCAAACCAGAGTAGCGCACGGAAACGCCGTTTACCTTCCCGCCGGAGTGGTACCTATTTATCTATTTGCACTTTGATGTGCTTTCGAACTGCTAGGTTGGCAGGAGCAGGGACCGAGCAACGGGAGCTCACCCCATCGCGGGGATTCGAACCGCCGACCTTCTGATCGGCAAGTCCTAGGCTCTGTGGTTTAACCCACAACGCCACCCACGTCCCAATTTGCCATAGAATACAATGAGACAAATGCTTTGTTGGAAGTCGAATTGCAGCAGAACAGAAAGGGCGCTGCCTGTGACAGATACAGGAAACTGATGCCTTCCGACATCCCTAATCGCACCACCCTGCGTTCTTTCCTGTGGCTTCTTGTTTAAATAAATCCCTTTTCTCCCCCCCCCCACAGGTAGATCTCTCCTGGAACAGCTTCAACAAAGGAGACGTCTTCTTGTTGGACCTCGGCAAAGTCTTGATTCAGTGGAATGGTCCCTCGTGCAACGTTGCAGAGAAATCAAGGGTGAGTGCTGGAAATCAGAGTGGCAATAATCCTGGTGCGGTTTTCGAGTAATGGTAAATCTTAGGTCCGTTGGTAGAACATGAGACTGTTGGGATACTGCCAGGGAGACAAAGGCCATCATGACCCCACGTCGATTCCGGACGATCCATCGATCTCCCGTAGATACAGTATCAGTCAATTAGCGACACGAGGCCTCGGAAATAGCTTGCCACATTCCAGAGCTGATGCACGCTCTTATCAGCAGAGTTCGCACAGCGAAAGATGCACTCAGGAGAGCATATTTACAAGTTTATTCAGCGTTGGTCAGAACAAAGAAAAAAACATGACTGCCTGCTTCAGTGTCTCAGACACAGAGAGAGAAACGAAAGCAATAGACAAAACATAAACTTCCTGTGAACAGGAAATACGCAGACTCTGTGACTCACAAAGCCTGCTCCCTTTTAAGGTGGAACGGAAATATCCTAACAGAGACTCTTAATCTCAGGGCCGTGGGTTCGAGCCCCACGTTGGATGAAAGATTCCTGCATCCCAGGGGCTGATGGGTGTTGGACTACAATTCCCATCAGGCTTTGGACTACAATTCCCATCAGTCTGTGCTATCTGGGGCTGATGGGATTTGTAGTCCAAAACACCCGGACTCCCAACTTCTAGGGGAGGCTGGAGTTGACAATACAATGTTAGAGTGACCAATGGTCTGATTCAGCATTATGCGTATTGATGCCTCCGTAATTCTCCCCATCTTCTAGGGCATGGTTTTGGCACGAAGTATCCGGGACGGCGAGAGGGGGGGCCGTGCTCAGATTGGCGTCGTCGACAATGAGAAGGACTGCCCAGACCTCATGCAGATCATGAAAGCGGTCCTGGGGGAGAGGCACGGAGAACTGCGGGAAGCATTGCCTGACGAGAAAGCTGATGAACTTCAGAAAGCCAATGTCCGTCTTTACCAGTAAGTCTTGGGGAGTTATTTCTCAGTTTCTTTCTCCCCGCCCCTCTCTCTCCCAAAAAGGCAGGTGCCCAAAATTGGCCTGTTTTCTTTAGGCCTAGGAAATTTAAAAAGCAACTCCTGTTGAATTTGAACCCCCCCCCAATTCTGTGATGAGAAAAGTGATGTAGATTTTTCGAGGGCCTCCTTTATATCGCCGTAAATACTAGCTGAAGATTACGGTCACGTTAGTCGCTGATAAAGTGCCTTAAATTTGTACGTGCTGTGTTCAGATATAAGCTTGCGATCTAAGGGCACAACACAAAAGGAAAAAGCTGCGGGGAGGGAAGAGGAAAGCAGATGTTGAAGCTGCTGCTCTTTCACTGGCCAGTGAGTGGGATCATGCCGGTTTCTCCCTTGTGGTGAGGAGATATGGGACCGGTCGTAGGAAGTCGAATTGGGCTTGGCAAGTCCAATAGAAGGAATCAAGGGCTGGCCTCATCTGGAATCACTGAAAGCTCACACCTCACTATAGGGGGCCTCCTTGCAGTCCTTGCCTGATTTCTGACATCAGAGCTGAGCTTGGAGAAAAGATGGCAGATGGGGAAGGAAAAAGTTTGCACCGGGGGCGAGCTGTATGATTAATGAAAAGTGTGGTTTGGTTCTTGGGTCTGAGGGTGAGAGTTTCAAGGACGTTATTCAAGCCAGACAAAAACTGTTCCAAGGGGTGCAAAGCAGGGGTGGGGTGGGGTGGGGCTGGCCTGTAGAGAGTCACAGGGGCCAGATGGGGAGTGTTTGGGGGGCCGCATTAGCCTGAGGATAACTGGATAACTCCCCAAGGAATGGGTGGCATTTAGGTCTTTAGGTTAAGGGCAAGGACTGCCTCCCAGCCCTCAGGCTCAAACCTTGGACAAGTCCTTAAGGATTCCTCAGTCCAGTATACCTGAAGGAGTGTCTCCACCCCCATCGTTCTGCCTGGACACTGAGGTCCAGCGCTGAGGGCCTTCTGGCGGTTCCCTCACTGCGAGAAGCCAAGTTACAGGGAACCAGACAGAGGGCCTTCTCAGTAGTGGCACCCACCCTGTGGAACGCCCTCCTACCAGATGTCAAAGAAAGAACAACCATCAGACTTTTAGAAGACATCTGAAGGCAGCCCTGTATAGGGAAGCTTTTAATGTTTAACAGACCACTGTATTTTAATACTTTGTTGGAAAGCCGGCCAGAGTGGCTGGGGAGACCCAGCCAGATTGGGGGGGGCCGGTATAAATAATAAATTATTATTATAATAATATTATTATTATTCCTACTGTCCATTTCCTCCTGCAGCGTCTATGAAAACGGGAAGGATTTAGTAGTTCAAGAAATTGCTACCCGGCCCCTGACTCAAGACCTCTTGCAGCATGAGGTAAGGTATCAAATAATCTCTGCAGAATGGTTGTTGTGACATCCTCTCTCTGTGAGAGTATCCATCAGTTTAGCAGATATGTGCCCTGGTCTACAGGAGCTCAAAGTCCTGGGTTCAAATCCAGTGAAGGTTCTTGTGTCCCCCCCCCCTTTATTTTAACAGGACTGTCACATTTTGGACCAGGGAGGTTTCAAAATTTACGTCTGGCGTGGGAAAGACTCCAGCAAAGAAGAGAAGAAGGCAGCGTTCAGCCGAGCAGTGGTGAGTTGGGAGCTCAAATAGCGGTGCAAAAAAATAAATGTGGGTTTTTTATTCCGCTTAAAAAGGGGATGGGTGGGAAACTCAGTCAGATCACGACAGGGACATTCGGACACAAAGCAGGCGGAAACAGCTAGTGGAGATGTATTGGCATGGACAGAGTGCCAAATCTGAATCAGGGAGAGCTGGGTTCAGGTCTCTTCTCACGAGGCCAATACCTGAATGCACCCTGGAGGGTTCTTGCAAGGAATGTAAATATAATTAGGAAATTATTAACCATGGGCATTATAATTATTGTCATGCCCTAAAGAGAGAAATACAGAGTGAAGTTTTGAACCTGGCACATGTTTGCATAGCGAGTTCCCACCCCCACCCCCAGTGGAAATAAAGACACGTGACACAATTATTAAGGTTAATGGGCTAAATAGGGCCACAACTTTATTGGTTACAGGTGATGAGCGGTATTGACTTAGGCATTGGTCCTAACTGACTATATCTGGCTTCAGCCCATCCACTAGAAAGGGTCCAGAAAGGGTTAACCACCAGTAGGGGGAGTCCTGCTGATGCACATCAACTAGGAACTCCCCGGGGTCACCGCTCAGGGGCGTGCCTTAGGCCCTCACCTCCCCAGGCTTTGGACAGGGCCACGCCCCCCCCGGAATCCTTTAACAGGACTACCCTTCAGTATGTGGGGCAGGTGATGGCGCTACCTCCCCTCTCCATCTACAGAACTATACCAATGCCTAACTGCCAATACCCAGAAAGTTGTGATGATTTGCTATGAGGTGGGCGAAAACCAAGTGGCTGGTGCCAATTTGCCAAGTGGAAAAATTCCTACCAGGCCCCTCAACGGCGACCAACCGAGGTCCATAGCAAGGTCAAGGAACGAAAGCCTTAAAGGGTGGGCCGGTGGGGAACAGGAACAGCTGGCAGGCGGGAAAAGAGGGAGATCCCTGGCCGCGCCTGCATTTAAATCCAGCAGGCCACGCCCCCCAAGCCAGCCGATTGGATGGCCAGGGGGTGACGCGGCCGGGGATTCCCCCAATCGTGCAGGAGCTGCGGCTCCAGCCCCACGGCACATTGGTGGGGCCGTGACGCCTGCAATCCCACCTCCTCTGCAGGGCAGAAGTGGCTTTGGCAATTAAAAGTCAATGTGCATATGCTAAATAATAGCTGCATCACTTGTCTTGTTTTTGTGAGTCTGGGCAAAGAGCAAAAAGTTCTATAGGACCTGAAAGCTCCACCCCAAGTCCTTGTTCCAGCCTCCATTGCCCCTTCCCTCCGCTGGGGAATGCCCATGTCCTTAGCAGCCTTGAGGACTAAAAGCACTCTTTTTAAAACAACAACAACAAGGCAGAATGCTAATATTCCACTAATAATACAAATTTTTCATCCAGGACCAAACATATGCATCTGCTTTGCAGTAACAGCACTGTAGGATATGAATGTTTTCTTCACCATTTCTTCACTCCGCGGGCAACTAAGTTATAGATTTGCGGAATTAGATAGTTATAGATTTGCCAGAATTGCTGACACACTCTCGGGGTCCTTCTAGGGTTTCATCCAAGCCAAAGGGTATCCCCCCACCACAAACGTAGAAGTCATGAACGACGGAGCGGAGTCGGCGATGTTTAAGCAACTCTTCCAGAAGTGGTCGGAAAAAGACGAGACTCAGGGACTTGGCAAGACCTACAACGTTGGCAAAATTGGTGAGACAGAAACACCCAAATCTCTTTCCTTCGGGCAAAGGTTGACGTGATGTTAAATAGCATTTTTGCACTTAATGAGCAGGGTTTTTTATATTAAAAAAATGCTAATTGCACCAGCCTTTTGGGGGTGGGGTGGGAGGGTGGTGATAATTAGGCCTTGGGTCGCTCAGTTGCTTACAGCATGGTGCCGATAAGGCCAAGGTTGCAGGATTGAGCCCAATATGGGACAGCAGCATATTCCGGCTGTTATGTACTGAAGTTCTCACCCTGGGCCAGCAGGGGGGATACTGTAGATAGTTATGCAAATGAAGGATCGAAAGTGACGTTCAGTGATTGGATAGTTTGTATGCAAATGAAGGATCGAAAGTGACGTTCAGTGATTGGATAGTTTTAGAAAGTTGTTACAGTTATGTTGTACTGGAGCTCTATATAAGCAGGCTGGCTGAACCCTTCAGTTCAGTTCTGTTCTGGCCTGTGAATAAACAAGAGCTGTTTGAAGAATCACTGTGTTGTCTGATATGTTCGCCCCCAACTTCATAACACCGGCACTGAAGGGGGTTGGACTAGATCAGGGTTCCTCAGTCTCGGCCCTCCATATATTTTTGGCCTACAACTCCCATGATCCCTAGCTAGCAGGACCAGTGGTCAGGGATGAAGGGAGAGCTCATCTGCTGTGTGTGAGAGAGGCTACACACATCCTATAAATAGGCATGTCCCAGTCCTTATGACATATATTGCTTGCAGTGAATGCAGTTCAGTCAGGTGAGATAACATCTCTCTGTGTTCTATACGCAGCCAAAGTGGATCAAGTCAAATTTGACGTCACGCAGTTGCACGCAAGACCGGAGTTGGCTGCTGAACAGCGGATGGCAGATGATGCCTCTGGAACTGTAGAGGTGAGTTCTTCTCTGCCCTACCTTGGTGCCAGCTCCAGATTTTGGAGGATATTGGGCAAGACATCATTGCCATTTATCACCAGCTGCCATTTAGCTCATATTTTTTTATTTATTCATCCATTGCATTTATATACCACCTTTATCTTCCGAGGATCTCAGAGTGGTGCCCATGGTTCCCCTCTTCCCCATTCCATCCTTACAACAACCCTGTGAGGTAGGACAGGCGAAGAGATGGGACTGGTCCAAGGTCACCCAGCTTCCGCTCCTAGCCGTCACCTCCCACCATTGTCTGGGCCAGTGCCGGGGAGACAGGACATGCAAGCAAGTTGCAAGAGTGTGATGGCCTGGGACTCAGGCTCAGACTCGGAACCAGAGGAGTCTCAGTCCGCACCAGATCCTTTGCCTCAGGCATCACCTGAACCAAGTCTGGGGCCTGATCCTGAAGAGTCCCAGTCTGCACAGGTTCCCCTGCAATGAACCCCAGCTGGACCGAGTCAGGGGCCTGAGCCTGCCCTGGCTCCAGATGTGGGGATTACCTCGTTGCCTTCAGCTGGGCCATCACTTACAGCTGCTCCACTACCGGTTGGGTCAGGGGAGGCTGAGGCGGCCCCTGGGTCTAGTAACCCACCGACGTCTCCCAAGCTGCAGAGACTGAGGTCTGAGAGAAGGAGAGACCCGAGTACTCGCAGGAGGAGTGCTCACCTTCGGGCGAAACAGGGAGGTGAGTTGCCGGGGAATCAGGACCGGCCGCTGCCCCGACAAAGATAAAAGGCTGTCGGACCCTGCCCCAGGTTGCGGGAGCAACATTGCTGTATGCTAGATCCTGCCTGAGATCCTGTACCTGTCCTTGCCTGGTTTCCTGCCTTGGCCCTGTTGGACTGACTCCTAGTGGAACCTTCGGATTCTGGACTGGTCCTGGACGGCGTTTCATGGGTTACCCCCAGGTCCAGCAGAAATAGTCAGGAAGGAGGGGGGCCAGGTCCAGAGGATATTTGTCTAGGGGTCTGTTACCGGGGTACTGCAACCTCAACGGGTGCCTGGCTGGGTTATTAGCCTGCCTGCAAATTCCATCCAGTTCTTCCAACGACAACAAAGAAGTGATCCCTTAAAAAAGAAAAACCACCACAACTGTACCGATGCCCAACACAGAGACAAAATCCTGCACCTGTTTGACCAGATAGTAGCAATTTTCCTTGGGCATGAGAAGAAGCGATAGGCAGAAGGGGGCAGCTATTTCTACTCACTGCTCTGAGCTGAGCCAAGAGGTCATCAGTTCTATGTGCTCTGGGACAAGGAGAAGTGTGGCCATCTGCTGGGGGCGAGGGCGAGGTATCAGCTGGACCCCGTAATGAAGCTGGCATATGGCTGGGATAGCTCAGTTGGTAGAGCATGAGGCTTGCGATCTTAGGGTTGTGGGTTCAAACCCCACACTGGGCAAAAGATTCCTACATTGCAGGGGGTTGGACTAGATGACCCTCATGGTGTTTCAAAGCTCTACAGTTCTATGATTCTATGATATTCCTGTTAGGCCTCAGAAAGCCAATGGCCCACTTTGTAAAGTCCACCTGCGTTCCCAGAGTCACCTAGGACTACTTTGTCAACTATAAGCAGAACCTCGCAACACTGAGATTTGGACGCCTGAGTTCGCTTGTTTTCCTCTTCCCTCCCCACCCTCTTTTCCTTTTGTGCCATTTCTTTTTTCCGATTGTAAGCCCCAGGGACAGAGTCTGTGTAATTTCTACTGGATTGTATGCTGCTGTGGGATGTTTTCAAGCCAAAGAGCAGGGTCCATACGCTTTAAATAAGGAACAAATAGGCACATTTCTGAGAACGAATGTTGCTTTAAATTAGCCGGCCCAGCCTTTTCTAAGCTGTGCACACCACCTCATCCCCACAACCCTGAATTCCTAACTCTGTGCTTCTCTCCGTAGGTGTGGAGGATTGAGGATCTAGAAATGGCTCCGGTTGCCCCCAGGACCTACGGGCAGTTCTATGGCGGAGATTGTTACCTCATCTTGTACACCTACACAAAATTAGGCAGGCCTCATTACATCATCTACATGTGGCTTGTAAGTAATGGCTGAGATCAAGAGGTGTGGTTTCATTATTTGGCAGTGTCCTCTGAGAAGGTGAATCGGGCCCGGTGGAACGCTGGTGTTTTTATATCTTAAGCCTTCTGTTTTCTTAGTGACTTTGAAAAACGACCTACAGCTTAAAGTGGAGAGTGCAGAGTGCTGGAGGCTGTTTTGGCTCCAGAGTGTAGCATACAGTTAAGGCTACCAAGCTGCCAGAGAGAGCAGGAATTCCTCAATTTTTCATACTGTTAAACTGTCAGGTCCAATCAAATTATTATTATTATTATTATTATTATTATTATTATTATTATTATTGCCCTGCCCATCTGGCTGGGTTTCCCCAGCTACTCTGGGCAGCTCCCAACATCATCATCATCATCATCATGTGACAAAATATCAAATATTAAAAACTTCCCTAAACAGGGCTGCCTTCAGATGTCTTGTAAAAGTCAGATAGTAGTTTATTTCCTTGACATCTGATGGGAGGGCGCTCCACAGGGTGGGCGCCACCACCGAGAAGGCCCTCTGCCTGGTTCCCTGTAATTTCGCTCCTCGCAGGGGAGAAAACCGCCAGAAGGCCCTCGGAGCTGGATCTCAGTGTCCATGCTGAATGATGGGGGTGGAGACACTCCTTCAGGTATACTGGGCCAAGGCCATTTAGGGCTTTACAAGTCAGCACCAACATTTTGAATTGTGCTCACAACGAGTTGCATTTAACATAGCACTAAGCAAATTGTTCCGTTAGTCCAAATATTTCTCCTTGCATAACAGAATGCTCTCCCCCCTCTCCCCCAGCCCCCTAAATCTGTTCTGGGGGTCCCAGACCCCAAGTGCTAGTGCAAAGATTGTACTAATCTTTGCACTAGCACTTGCAAAATTATTCAGTTGAGTTCACGTAAAGCCAAGCAAATAAAAGCCAGAATCCATTTTCTTTAAGGCAGTTAAACCAAGGGATGAACTGTGAAATTGTTCTAACTGTATGCCACAACTTTGCAGCATATGCTTTCTTAAGACCCACCCAAATTATCCGGGATGCACCCTATGATACAAAAACGGCCTTCTTTCACCCAGCTCTTCAAGGACCAAGTCTAGCCCAAGCTAAACCAACTATTAGACACCCCACACTTCCCAGAGTGAGTCCTCTTGCGGTGCTGGGCAGTTTTCTTCCCTCTGGGGTGAGAATTAAGGGTGTTGGAGAAATCTGTTGAGAACTGAAATGGGGACAGTTTTCCTCACTAGGGTGAGATGTCTCTCCCCCCCGCCCCATTTTATTATAGTAATTGTTTCTACATTTGCACCTATTGACATAAATTTCACTGTGCAAATTGATTACCTCTCTTCTTTTTTTAGAGGGGCGGGTGACACATTCCTTCGTTGGGGGCGATGCCAAAGCAAGCCACCACCCTAAAGCTTGTCATCTAGTTCCCTCTAAGTCAGGCTTCCTCAACCTCGGCCCTCCAGATGTTTTGAGACTACAATTCCCATCATCCCTGACCACTGGTCCTGCTAGCTAGGGATCATGGGAGTTGTAGGCCAAAAACATCTGGAGGGCTGAGGTTGAGGAAACCTGCTCTAAGTTGTATTCTCCAAGCTTTACAAAGCTCACGAAACAGCCCTCCCTCCCTTCACCTTCTCCGGTTTTGCTAGCCATTTTGGGTGACTCCTCCTCGGGTCTGAACAACCACTGCATATCTGAGGGTGTCCCCCTTGTTCCTCTTCAGGGCCGCCACGCCTCGGCGGATGAAATCACTGCCTGCGCCTTCAACGCTGTGGAGCTGGACAAAAAGTACGGGGATGAGCCGGTGCAGGTTCGAGTGACGATGGGGAAGGAGCCGAGACACTTCCTCTCCATCTTCAAGGGGAAACTGATCATCTATGAGGTAGGTTCTCCCGGTCCAAAGCCCACACCCACCAAGGGACCTCAGAGTCTCTTATTTCTCTTGGGAACTGGTCTGCCTCCCTCCATTCCCCCCTTCCTCTCTCTCTAAGGAGAGCAAAACTCCAAATCTTTAAAACAAAAGTGGCTATAATACTATTTCCCCACCCAACAGGGCCTTCCTGGGGGTAGCTCCACAGTTGTAGAACTCTCTCCTTTCTCATTTGCTTGGCCCTTTCTGGGAGGCCATAATCTATTTTAAGTTGCCTGTCTTTAACACACTTTAGGCCAGCCTTTCACAACCTTTGGGTCCCTAGATGTTGTTGAACTACAACTCCCATCACCCCTAGCTAGCAAGGCCAGAGCTCAGGGATGATGGGAGTTGTAGTCCAACAACATCTGGGGACCCACAGGTTGAGAACCGCTGCTTTAGGCGATCCAATTCAATATTTCCATGTGTTATGTTTTCCTCTTCCAGATCATTGCGGAACAGCAGTGGCTCAACAAGGAATTGGGCAGATCTGTCCGTTTCCATATCTCATTTTTCCAGTCTTCTGTCCCCCCCCCCATTGCTACATCGGATTACAATACTCTTTTCACAATGCATCGTGAAAATTTCAGCAACTGTTCATGTTAATTTTTTATTAACGTGCAAAATCTTGCCCAATGTGCACATTGCTGCAAGGAACCTTTCCTGATACAATCCATTTTTGTACACCTATTTTTACTGATATCTGTATTTGTTGTATGCACTTTCCCCTGGTGTACACACTTTCTTGTATACCCCTCTTGGCTGGAAGACTGCATCACCAGAAACGGGAGACATGTGGATTTTTGCACAATGGTTCAGGAAGTGCAAATTTAGAAGAGTTTTCACTGAGATGCAAACCAAATGGATTTCTGCTTCACGGACTGCTTTGTTTCTTCCAGGGAGGCACAAGTCGTGCCCAGAAGAGCGAGCCGGAGCCCGCCGTCCGGCTCTTCCAAGTGAGGGGGACAGATGAATTCAACACCAAGACCGTCGAGGTCCCGGCACGAGCCTCCTCGCTCAACTCCAACGATGTCTTCCTTCTCAGGACCAACCAAATGTGCTACCTGTGGTGTGGAAAGGTAGGTGAATTTTAGGGCGTATGCTCCAGCGTACTCCAATCTTGTGTGCCCATCCCCTAAAACTCCCACCATCCCCAGCAAGCTTGGCCAGTGTCCAGGGATGATGGGAGTTGTAGTCCAACAAAGTCTGGTGGCCCAAGGTTGAAGAACGCTGCTCCAGATGACCTCTTTCCTGAGCCTTCCTTGCGCAGTACTTATGTGAAGACTAGGTTGTATCTGGTCTTCCTTGAGAATTTATTCTGATTTGTTTGCAGGGAGATTATTCAGACAATGGGCACTCACAGGATGTTTATTCATTCATTCATCCCACCCTTTTCTGATGCATTCTCCCATCACTTTCCTAACCGCAAAAGGATCAGTTTCCTTTTTTTGAAGTACCGTATTTTTCGCTCTATAAGACGCACCAGACCACAAGACGCACCTAGTTTTTGGAGGAGGAAAACAAGAAAAAAACCATTCTGAATCTCAGAAGCCAGAACAACAAGAGGGATAACTGCGCAGCGAAAGCAGCAATCCCTCTTGCTGTTCTGGCTTCTGCATTCGCTCCATAAGACGCACACACATTTCCCCTTCCTTTTTAGGAGGGAAAAAGTGAGTCTTATAGAGCAAAAAATACGGTAGATTTCTTGCACTAGGGCAGTGGTTCTCAAACTTTTTTTTTCCCTCTGGGCCACGCTTTCAGAATAAAAAATTGCTCATGCCACGGCGAATTTTTCTATCAATAAGAAATACGTTGGAAAACAAAAAGAAACAACTTCCAGCAGTGCTTGATTTGTAACATAAAACATAACTACTTTATATTATGATGGGTAAAGCAATGCAGCTACGTATTCTGCAAATTAAAAAATATGTGGATACTATACTGATATGTTTAAATGTTTCTATTATCGTCCTTGAACCTTCCCGACTATTCTCTCCTGCCCCACCTTTTGGGAACCACTGCACTAGAGTGATAGAGTCCTTTAATCCACTTTAATTGCTCAGACCTACATTTCCCAGTATACAGAGGCACCCTGACTGTCAGGCTTCTGGGAATTGGCTTCCTCCCCCATGGCAGTAAATAAGAAGATCAAACGAAAGGAACATCTTACCAGTTAGATTCTTTAATAATCATAGGTAAAGGTAAAGGGACCCCTGACCATTAGGTCCAGTCGTGGCCGACTGTGGGGTTGCGGCGCTCATCTCGCTTTATTGGCCAAGGGAGCCGGCGTACAGCTTCCGGGTCATGTGGCCAGCATGACTAAGCCTCTTCTGGCGAACCAGAGCAGTGCATGGAAACGCCGTTTACCTTCCTGCCGGAGCGGTACCTATTTATCTACTTGCACTTTGATGTGCTTTCGAACTGCTAGGTTGGCAGGAGCAGGGACCGAGCAACGGGAGCTCACCCCGTCATGGGGATTCGAACCGCCAACCTTCTGATCAGCAAGCCCTAGGCTCTGTGGTTTAACCCACAGCACCACCCGCGTCCTTTTAATAATCATAGTGAGAGACAAAAGAACACATCACCCTAGAAATGGTAGTGCTCCCAGTTAAGGCTACCTCACCCTTCCCCCCCCCCCCGTCCCTATTAATCCGTCACTCCTGTGTCTTGTAATCTGAGGTTG